CCCCCCCCGCCACCACCACCTCCCCCACCACCGCCACCCCCGCTGTCACCACCACCGCCCTTGCCCCCCTTGCCCTTGCCGCTGCGGCGCCCACTCGAAGCAGACGCAGTCCCGACCTTCTCAGCACCAAGGAGGTCGACAGCAGCAGCAGAGGCGACAGAGGGAAGAAGGGGGGAGGGAGAACACCCCTCAAAGAACGGGGTACGGGGGTCACCGCGAGAGGCACCTACAGCGACTATGCTAGCCTCAGCTGCAAGCAGTTCCTTCTCGAGGAGGGCAATGGTGAGCTCCAGCTCCAGCAGGAGCGGCAGCTCCAGTACCGCTAGCAGCTCCAGCATTCCAGCAGGACCAACTCCAGCAGCCCTAGAAGCACCCCCAGTCCCAGCAGCTCCAGCACCGCCAGTTAGAGTACCTCCGGGACCAGCAGTAACAGTAGTACCTCTAGCTCCAGCAGCACGGCTCCAGCGCCGGGCAAACCACTCGCGCAGCTCCAGCGGAGAGAGCGGCTCCCGCCTCGACGAATCACTGCGAGAGGCCACACGAGCAGACCCAACATCCCTAGGCTCCGCACTCCCAGACTCAGCACCCCCAGACTCAGCACCCCCAGGCTCAGCACCCCCAGGCTCAACACCCCCAGGCTCCGCGCCTCTAGACCCGGCACCCGCAGGCTCAGCACCTCTAGCAGCACTAGAGTCAACAGCTACCTCGACAGGCTTCACTGCGTCTACTTGGGACACACCTTACGGGGCAGGACCCTGAGGGGGGAGGGGGTCTACCGGGGGAGGACCTGGTGCAAGGAAGAGCGACGGCGGGGGGAGGGGCGCAGTGCGGTAGGGGAAGAGACGGTAGTAAGGCACCGACTCGTCAAAGGTGACGTCCTGGGAGGACAGAACACGGCGCGAGGTGGGGTGGTAAAACTGCCACCCAGGCGCGTCAGGGGGGAAGCAAAGGATTCGCAGGGAACAGCATGGGGGGACATCTTGTCTGTAGACAAGTCGCGGACAAACGCCCGAGATCCCCAGACCCGAAACGCAGACGCATCGCCAACCTTCCCCGTCCACCGTAAGGTGGGGGAGGTCTCTGGCAAGGAGACCCGGGGCTGAAGGTTGAGCTGATGCGCTGCGTACTGAACCGCAAACGGCCACAGAAAATGGGGGGCAGCCGCATGGATCATGGACGTACGAGTGACGTCCATGACCATGCCAATGCGGCGCTCAGCAATCCCATTTTGCTGTGGAGAGGCCGGAAGCGTGAAGGTTTGGCGGATGCCCTGTGCTCGACAGAAGGCTCCCACACAAGCAGAGGAAAACTCCCCGCCTCTGTCAGAGTGCAGACGCAGAACAGGAAAATCCGAGCCGAAACTCTCTCTGAGCTGGAGACGAGCTGCGCGGATCCAGTCGATCAACACCTCAGTGACGCCACCCTTGTTGCGCAAGGGGAAGACTGTGGTGTAACGCGAATAGTCGTCAACCACCAACAGGAAGTAACGCTCGTGCCCCTGGCCACGGACGCGGGCGGGGCCCCACACGTCCATGTGAAGAGTCTGCAGCGGAGCCTCTGTCGGAGGAAACTCGGAGGAGTGAGGGGCGGCGCGCTGTCGCCCCTCGACGCAGGGGACGCAGGTAGGGCCAGGCCCTGGAGGTAGGGGAGGGAGAGACCGGGGGAGACCAGAGACAAGGACACGGGAGGCCATGCCTCGGAGACGAGGCAGGGAGGGGTGACCAAGGCGGTGGTGCCAAAGGAGAGTCTGGTGGGACAGGAGACGACACGAGCAGGGAGCAGACTCAGGACCAGACCTGGACGCTGCAGCAAACACCTAACTCGACGCAACTACCTGACCAGACTAAGCAGCCGGAGGAGACTCAGTAGTAAGTGTGTGCAGGCTCGACCCCGGCCGACGGGTGAACGTGGCCAAGTGTCGGCCTGTCCGAGCACACGTGCAGTGGGCGCTGACTCACAGGAGTGAACTGGTCAACCCCTCTATCCTGTAGATCAGCTCCACTCACCAAGTTCGTAGAGAACGAGGGGAGGTAGAGACCTGACAGGGTGCCAGAGGGGGCTGTCAGGCACGGTAAGACAGTGGAGAAGCTAGCAAGGTCTGGACCCCCAGAGGGGTCCGCCAGGGAGACTGCAACCGGCCGACTAAGCGGCGTAAGCGTGGTGTGGTCTCGAAAGAAGGAGCGGAAAGCACCCGAGTCAAGGGTGAAGGTGTGTAAGGCCTGAGCCGGCGTAGTACCTGAGAGAGCAGACTCACCAGCACCTGGGGCAGCAGACGCACTAGCACCTAGAGCAGCAGCCTCACCACCACCTGCAGCAGCAGCCTCAATGCCCGGGTCAAGCGGAACACACAGGTAACAGTCACCCTCAACACTATCAGACACAGCATACTTGGCAGCAAGAATAGCATCATAGTCAAGATCAAAGATAGCAACCCCCGCCCTAGACAGCTCTACCCAGCGAGGGATCTCAGAGGCCTCAGGGAACTGGTGACGCCACGCGTCCGTTAGGCGGTCAAAGCAGCGCTGGGTGGAGTGCGGGCCCCCGCACTGCTCACCAGCGCGGTCGCTGGTACGGAGGACGTACGTGCAGGGACTAGTACCCCCACCACGCTGACGCGCAGCGTACCACTCACGAAGCTGCTGAGGGGACAGGGTCTCACGACTGCGCTGCTGCTGCTGTCGCGGACCACCACCGGACCCACTCCTCTATGCAGAGCCGCGACCAGCTCCACCGCTGCCGCCACCGCCTCCGCCACCTCCGCCGCCTCCACCACCTCCGCCGCCTCCGCCACCTCCGCCACCTCCGCTCCTTCTGCCACCACCACAGCCTCCTCCGCCTCCATTGCTGCCACCGACACCTCCACCCCCGCCACCACTCCCACCACCACCCCCACCCCCTCCACTGCCTCCACCACCACCTCCATCGCCCCCGCCATCCCCTCCAGCGCCCTTGCCCTCCTTGCCCTTGCCGGTGCGGCGTCTCCCGCTAGGGGTAGACGCAGCGCCAACCGACTCAAAACCAATGAGGTCGGCCGCAGCAGCAAAGGAAACAGAGGGCAAGAGGGGGGAGGGAGAACACCCCTCAAAGACAGGGGTGCGAGGGTCACCACGAGAGGCTCCTACAGCGACTATGCTCTTCTCTGCTGCTAGGAGGCGCTCCTCGAGGAGGTCAACGATGAGTGTGGTGGGGCAAACTGAGAGGAAGTGGTCCCTGACTAAGCGAAGGGAGTCAGGGAGCCGGGTGACTATGTAGTGGAGGGTGATGTACATGAGTGGGGGGTTCTTGGCACAGAAATCAGCAGGAAGCGCAGCGCGGTAGCGAGTGTCACTAGTGCGAAGGTGCGTAATGAGGTCAGCGACTGTGGGAAAGGCAGCAAGGTCAGGGAACAGGTACGGCAGCATGAGGCTGCTAAGCGCAGCAGTGGCAGGGGAGGAGTAGCGTGCAACTACAGCGTCGTACAAGGTCTTAGCACTCTTGTACTGGCTAAAGTGCGCACGCTCAGTGGTCGGTAAGTGGCGACGCACAGCAAGGCGGGCAGCAGCATCGCGTGTGGCCCACTGTGAGCGAACAATGTTGTCAGCAGTAGAAGGCGGGGCAGGAGAGGCACCAGAGGTGAGATCGAACAAGGAGAGCCCGTCTGCCCTATCGCACTGTAGGAACAGCTGGAGGTCATCGACCCAGACCTCAAAGTCAACAGCACGACCCTCAGCATCAAAGGTAAGGACACTGGGGGTAGCCATGACTGTAGTGGCCTAGCAGGGAGTGATCTCACCAGTCCGAGTAAGTAGGGCCGGGGCGCGCCGGTAGGAACAGTAGTGGCTCGACGGCAGGGCGGCTCGGTGGCTCTGCTGCTGGGTGGCTCGGCGGCTCGGTTGCTGGGCGGCTCGGCGGCTCGGGTGCTGGGCGGCTCGGCGGTTCGGCTGTTGGGCGGCTCGGTTGCTGGGCGGCTCGGCGGCTCGGCTGCTGGGTGGCTCGGCGGCTCGGCTGTTGGGCGGCTCGGCTGCTGGGCGGCTTGGCTGCTCAGGTGCTGGGCGGCTCAGCGGTGAAGGGGCCGGTAGAGGCGGCGATGGGGCCGCTAGGGGCGAAGATGGGGCCGCTAAGGGTGGCGAGGTGGCCGCGAAGGGGCGGCGACGGGGCCGCAGAGGGGCCGCAAGGGGCCTAGAGGGGCGGCAACGAGGCCGCGAAGGGGCCGTAAGGGGCCTAGAGGAGGCGGCGACGGTGCCGCAAGTGGCGGCGACGGGGCCGCGAAGGGGCCGCGAGGGGCCTAGAGGGGCGGCGACGGGGCCGCTAGGGGCGGCGACGGGGCCTAGAGCGGCGGCGACGGGGCCGTGAAGGGGCCGCGAGGGGCCTAGAGCGGGCGCGACGTGAGGGCGGCCTACGGGGCACGCCTCGGGCAGGAAAAAAAGATCGAGTTAGTTGGTGCGCCCTGAGAAGCGTTCCCACGAGGGGACCTGCTCTATACCATGTGAAGAATGAGGAATGTATGAACTAGCACAAGGTTGGGTACAAGTAGGAAACCCTAGGAAACTGTACCCCATAGTGTCTACCCCACTATAGCCTAGACAAGCTACATGATATAAGTTTGACATGTTTGCCACGTTCCTCAAGAACGGCGTCGCCGTCACGCAGTTCATGGCGCTGCTGACGGTGCATAAGTACGACGCGTCTTAGCTTTTTACCGTGCTCACGAGTAACCTGGACTCTGTAGATGTCGACAACAAACGCGTGTCCGCCATCGGCCCTGCCGCCGAGCCGCCCAGCAGCCGAGCCGCCCTGCCGCCGAGTCGCCCAGCAGCTGAGCCGCCTTGCCGCCGAGCCGCCCTGCCGCCGAGCCGCCCAGCACCCGAGCCGCCCTGTCGCCGAGCCGCCCAGCAGCTGAGCCGCCCTGCCACCGAGCCACCGAGCCGCCCTACTGTCTAGCAGCTGTTGTTCCTACTGGTGCTCCCCGGCCCCTCCTTCCTCGGACTGGTGAGCTCACGTCCTCCTAGGCCACTGCAGTCATGGCTACCCCCAGTGTCCTTACTTTTGATGCTGAGGGCCGTGCCGTTGACTTTGAGGTCTGGGTCGATGACCTCCAGCTGTTTCTTCAGTGCGATAGGGCGGACGGCCTTTCCCTGTTTGACCTCACTTCTGGTGCCTCCCCTGCCCCTACTGCTGATGCTGACGCCATTGTTCGCTCACAGTGGGCCACGCGCGATGCTGCTGCTCGCCTTGCTGTGTGCCGCCACTTACCGACCACTGAGCGTGCACACTTTAGCCAGTACAAGAGTGCTAAGACCTTGTACGACGCTGTAGTTGCACGCTACTCTTCCCCTGCCACTGCTGCACTGAGCCGCCTCATGCTACCGTACCTCTTCCCTGACCTTGCTTCCTTTCCCACAATCGCTGACCTCATTACGCACCTCCACACTAGTGACACTCGCTACTGCGCTGCGCTTCCTGCTGAGTTCTGCGCCAAGAACCCCCCCCCCCATATACATCACCCTCTACTACATAGTCACCCGGCTCCCTGACTCTCTCCGCGTAGTCTGGACCACTTCCTCTCAGTTTGCCCCACCACTCTCACCGTTGACCTCCTTGAGAAGGCCCTCCTAGCGATAGAGAAGAGCATAGTCGCTGTAGGAGCCTCTCGTGGTGACCCTCGCACCCCCGTCTTTGAGGGTGTTCTCCCTCCCCCCTCTTGCCCTCTGTTGCCTCTGCTGCTGCAGCCAACTTCGTTGGTTTTGAGTCGGTCGGCGCTGCGTCTGCCCCAAGCGGGAGACGCCGCACCGGTAAGGGCAAGGGGGGCAAGGGCGCTGGAGGGGCAGGAGGGGGCGGTGGAGGTGGTGGTGGAGGCAGTGGAGGGAGTGGGGGTGGTGGTGGGAGTGGTGCCGGGGGTGGCGGCGGCGGCGGCAGCAGTGGAGGCGGCGGAGGCGGTGGAGGTGGCGGAGGGAGCGGAGGCGGCGGAGGTAGTGGAGGAGGCGAAGGTGGAGGAGGCGGTGGAGGCGGCGGCGGCGGCGGAGGCGGCGGTGGTGGAGCGGGTCGCGACTCTGCGCAGAGGAGTGGCACCGGTGGTGGTCAGCGCCAGCAGCAGTAACGGAGTGGTGTGACCCTGTCCCCTCAGCAGCTTGGTGAGTGGTACACTGTGCGTCAGCGCGGTGGGGGTTTTGGTCCCTGCGCTTACGTCCTCCGTACCGGCGACCGCGCTGGTGAGCAGTGCGGATGTCCGCACTCCACGCAGTGCTGCTTTGGTCGCCTGACGGACGCGTGGCGTCGCCAGTTCCCTGAGGCGTCAGAGATCTCTCGCTGGGGAGATCTGACTAAGGCCAGGGTTGCTATCTTTGATCTTGACTTTGATGCTATTCTTGCTGCTATGTATGCTGTTGATACTAGTGTTGAGGGTGCCTACTACCTGTGTGTACCGCCTGACCCGGGCATTGAGGCCGCTGCTCTAGGTGCTGCTGAGGCTGCTGCTCTAGGTGCTAGTGCGTCTGCTACCCCAGGTGCTGGTGTGTCTGCTCTCACAGGTACTGCGTCGGCTCAGGCCTTCCACACCTTCACCCTGGACTCGAGTGCGTCCCGCTCCTTCTTTCGAGACCGCACCACTCTTACGCCGCTCAGTCGGCCGGTTGCAGTCTCCCTTGCAGACCCCTCTGGGGGTCCTGTCCTTGCTAGCTTCTCCACTGTCCTACCGTGCCCGGCAGCCCCCTCTGGCACCCTGTCAGGTCTCTAACTCCCCTCGTTCTCTACGAACTTGGTGAGTGGAGCGGACCTACAGGATAGGGGGGTTGACCAGTTCACTCCTGCGAGTCAGAGAGTGACCCACTGCACGTGTGCTCGGACAGGCCGACACTTGGCCACGTTCACCCGTCAGCCAGGGTCGAGCCTGTACACCCTTACTTCTGAGTCTCCTCCTACTGCTGAGTCTGCCCAGGTAGCTGCGTCGAGTCAGGTGTTTGCTGCGGCATCCAGGTCCGGTCCTGAGTCTACTCCCTGCTCGTGTCGTCTGCTGTCCCACTAGACTCTCCTTTGGCACCACCGCCTTCGTCACCCCTCCTTGCCTCTGTCAAACATTATATGCGTTGTTATTGTGTAGGCTGTAGTGGGTTAGCCTTCAGGGGGTACACAAAGTTAGGGTTTGCTATTTGTACTTCAACTCTCATAGTGCAATCACTTCTCTCTCATTCTAACATGGTATTACGAGCCTAGGCTAGGAACCTAGGACCGTTCCTAAGGGCCCACCGTTTCCGCTCAGAGCGCCCTCGTGCACCGCCCCTTAGAGGCCCCGTCGGCCCCATCGACCTCGCTTAGAGGCCCTGTCGGCCCCTCGTGCCGTCCCTTAGCGGGCCCCGTCGATCTTACGCGCCGCCCCATAGCGGCCCCGCTGGCCCCGTCGACCCGTGCGCCAGCCCCTTAGCGGCCTCGCTGGCCCCGTACACCCGTGCGCCCGCCCCTCTTAGCGGCCCCGCTGGCCCCGTCGACCCGTGCGCCCGCCCCTTAGCGGCCCCGCTGGCCCCGTACACCCGTGCGCCCGCCCCCTTAGCGGCCTCGCTGGCCCCGTCGACCCCGTGCGCCCGCCCCTTAGCGGCCCCAGCTGTCCCCGTCGACCACGTGCGCCCGCCCTTTAGCGGCCCCGCTGGCCCCGTCGACCCCGTGCGCCCGCCCCTTAGCGGCCCCAGCTGGCCCCGTCGACCCCGTGCGCCCGCCCCTTAGCGGCCCCGCTGGCCCCGTCGACCCGTGCGCCCGCCCCTTAGTGGCCCCACTGACCCTGTCGACCCCAAACGCCGCCCCTTAGTGGCCCCCAGCTGGCCCCGTCGACCCGTGCGCCCGCCCCTTAGCACCCCGTCGCGACGCCATCGGCCCCGCTAGAACGAGCAGCCCAGCCCGAACCGAGCCGCTCGACCCAAACCGAGCCGCCCGAGCCGAGCCGCCCAGCCCGAACCGAGCCGCGCCACCTAAACCGAGCCGAGCTGCCCTACCTGAACCGAGCCGCGCTGCCCGGCCTGGGCCAAGCCGCCCTACCTGACTCGCTGCCTACTGTTTTTAGGGTGCTACTACTGCTACTACTCCTACTACTGCTACTACTGCTGCTATGGCTAGCCCTCCTGTGCTAGCTTTCGATGCTGAGGGCCGCCCAGTGAAGTTCGATACCTGGCTAGATGACCTACACCTCTTCCTACAGCTCACTGCCAAGGAGGACATCTCATTGTACGATCATGCCCTAGGCCATGCTACTGCTCCTACTACTACTGCTGACAGCACTGCCCGCTCACAGTGGCAGACTCGTGACGCCCACGCTCGCTTTGCTATTCGCAACTCCCTGCCGATAGACAAGCGCGAGCACTTTGGACAACACAAGACTGCACAGGCACTGTACACTGCTGTTGTTGCCCGCTACTCCTCACCTGCCTCTGCTGCACTAGGCCGTCTCTCACTCCCCTACTTGTTTCCCGACCTGGCTTCGTTCCACACAGTCGCTGACCTCATCACGCACCTCTGTACTAGTGAGGCCCGCTTTCGTGCCGCCATGCCCGACGAGTTTCTTGCCACCAACCCCCCCCCGCTCTGGCTCACTCTCTACCACCTAGTCACCCGCCTCCCTAACACTCTGCGTGCTGTCAGGGACCACTTCCTAGCTCGCTGCCCCACTGAGCTCACCATTGCCCTCCTCGAGAAGGAACTACTTGCAGCTGAGGCTAGCATAGTCGCTGTAGGTGCCTCTCGTGGCGACCCCCGCACCCCTTTCTTCGAGGGGTGTTCCCCTTCCCCTCTTCTTCCCTCTATCGCCTCTCCTTCTGCTGTCGACCTCCTTGGTGCTGAGAAGGTCGGGGCTGCGTCTGCTTCGAGCGGGCGCCGCAGCAGCAAGGGCAAAGGGGGCAAGGGCGGCGGAGGTGACGGCGGGGGAGGCGGTGGTGGGGGTGGTGGTGGCGGTGGGGGTGGTGGCGGGGCTGGGGGAGCTAGTGGCAGCGGTTGGGGTGGTGGTGGCAACGGCGGGGGCGGTGGCAGGGGCGGGGGCGGTGGTGGGGGCGGCGGTGGACGTGGCGGCGGCAGGGGAGGAGGTGGTCGAGGCAGTGGTGGCGGCGGTGGTGGTCGTGGAGGCACTGGCGGTGGCCAGAGCCTACATCACTCTCCGTCGCCCCAGGAACTCCGTGAGTGGTACACCCGGCAGGGGGGGTGTGGTGGCCTTAGCTGCACGTACGTCATCCGCACTGGTGACCGCACTGGTCAGACGTGTGGGAGGGCGCACCCCACGCAGCGCTGCTTCTCACGCCTTGACGATGCTTGGCGTACTCAGTTCCCTGACGCCACTGAGCTGCCACGCCGGGCTGATCTGATGAAACAAAACATTGATATCTTTGCTCTAGACTTTGATGCTATTCTCTCTGCCATGTATGTGATGTCTATTAGTGGAGAGGGTGCCCAGTACCTGAGTGTTCCGCCCGACCCGGGCATTCGACCTGGTGAGGCTACCGCTCTAGGTGCTAGAGTGTCTGCTACCCCAGGTGCTGGTGAGGCTGCTGCTCTAGGTGCTGGTGCGTCTGCGTCCCCTGTTACTGAGTCGACTGAGGCACTGCACACCTTTACACTAGACTCAGGTGCCTCCCGCTGATTCTTTCGTGACCGCACGGCTCTTGAGCAGCTTGCTCGGCCCGTTGCAGTCTCTCTCGCTTACCCCTCTGGGGGTCCAGTCCTTGCGACCTCCTCCACTGTCCTCCCCTGTCCGGCCATCCCGTCGGGCACATTGTCCGGTCTCTACCTCCCCTCGTTCTCTACGAACTTGGTGGCGGGGAGTGCGCTCCAGGACAGGGGTGTCCATCAGTTCACCCCTGCCTACGAGCGCGTGACACACTGCACGTGTGCTCGGACGGGCCGTCACCTGGTGACCTTCACACGGCAGCCGGGGTCGCACCTGTACACACTGACTACTGAGTCCCCTCAGGTATCTGCGTCTGCGTCTGCGTCAGGTCAGCTGCCTGCCCCCTGCTCGTGCTGCTCTCTGTCGCACGAGACGGTCCTCTGGCACCACCGCCTTGGTCACCCGTCCGTGCAGCGCCTTCGGGCAATGCACAAACGGTACCTTGTCTCTGGTCTTCCCAGGGTTCTCCCTCCCCTCCCACCCTCTCCTGCTCCTCCCTGTCTTCCCTGTGTCGAGGGGCGGCAGCGCGCCGCTCCTCACTCCTCCTCGTTTCCCCCGACGACTGCTCCCTTACAGACGCTCCACATGGACGTGTGGGGCCCCGCCCGCGTCCGTGGTCAGGGTCAGGAGAGGTACTTCCTGATAGTTGTTGACGACTACTCGCATTACACCACGGTCTTCCCCTTGTGCACCAAGGGTGAGGTCCCTGATGTTTTGATCCCCTGGATCCGCGCTTCTCGTCTCCAGCTCAGCGAGCGTTTCCGCTCGGACTTTCCTATCCTGCGCTTGCACTCTGACAGAGGTGGTGAGCTCTCCTCCGGCCTCTTGGCAGCCTACTGTGCGGAGCACGGCATTGAGCAGTCGTTCACGCTTCCGGCCTCTCCACAGCAGAATGGGGTTGCTGAGTGCCGCATTGGCTTGGTCATGGAGGTCGCTCGTACCTCCTTGATCCATGCGGCTGCCCCCCACTTTCTGTGGCCGTTTGCAGTCCGATACGTTGCGCATCAGCTCAGCCTCTGGCCCCGTGTCTCCTTGCCGGAGACTTCCCCGACATTGCGTTGGATGGGAGAGGTTGGCGACGTGTCGCGTTTTTGGGTCTGGGGATCTCGAGCTTTTGTCTGCAATACGTCAGCGGACAAGCTCTCCTCCCGTGCTGTTCTGTGTGTCTTCCTCGGCTTTGTCCCGGACGCGTCTGGTTGGCAGTTTTACCACGCCGCCTCGCGCCGTGTCCTCGCCTCTCAGGACGTCACCTTTGACGAGTCGGTACCCTTCTACCACCTCTTCCCTTACCGCACTGCCCCACTCCCTCCCCCGCCTCTCTTCCTCGCGCCAGGTGCTGCTGTAGTAGACCCCCTCCCCCCTCAGGGTGCCGCTCCCTCAGGTATGTCCCAGGTAGACCCGTTTGAGCCTGTCGAGGTAGCGGTCGACTCTCGTCCTGCTCGGGGTGCTGAGTCTGGGGGTACTGAGCCTGGGGGTGCTGAGCCTGGGGGTGCAGAGTCTGGGGGTCCTGACCCTGGGGGTACTAAGCCTGGGGGTGTTGAGCCTGGGAGTGCGGAGCCTGCTTGTGCTGAGTCTGGGGGTGCTGAGTCTGGGGGTGCTGAGCTTGGGAGTACTACGCCTGGAGGAGCTCTCTCCTCACAGCAGCTGCGTGAGTGGTACTTACAGTACTGCAGCCTCAGGAGCGGTGCTTCTGGAGCTAGGGGTACTTCTGGAGCTGGTGCTCGTGCTTCCTCACCTAGGCGGGAGCTGCCCTCTCCCCAGTGTCTTCGTGAGTGGTACGCACGTCGTTGCAGTCTCACAAGTAGCGTTCCTAGTGGCGTTGGAGTTGCTGCTGGTGCTGCGGACCCGGGCGTTGGAGCTGCTACTGGTGCTGTGGACCCGGATGTTGGAGCTGCTGCTGGCGCTGCAGACCCGAGCGTTGGAGTTGCTGCTGGTGCTGCGGACCCGGACGTTGGAGCTGGTGCTGGTGCTGCAGACCCGGGCGTTGGAGCTGCTGCTGGTGCTGCGGACCCGGGTGTTGGAGCTGCTGCTAGTGCTGCAGACCCGGGCGTTGGAGGTGCTGGGGGTGCTGCTGGAGCTGCTGGAGGTTCTGGTGCTGTCTCTGCTGCTGCAGGGGGCACCTCACGGCCGCGACCGTACTTTGTTCCACTCCTTCAGCAGGTTCTTGGTCAGTCACCTCCGCCTTGTCCCCCTCCCTCTGTAGAGTGTCCACCGCCGGTCCAGTCGCAGTCACAGCTACCGCCTGCCTCGCCACTTCCTAGTCCTTCTCCTTACACTGGTCCTACAGGTGGCCTCACAGATCATCGTCAGCTTGAGTCTCGCCCTGTGTCGCCTGTGTCCCGTCCTGAGTCGCCTGTTTGTACTACTTCCACCAGTCGCCGTAC